CACACACACACACACACACACACACACACACACACACTCCCCTCCTCGGTCTCTTCCCAGTCAGATCTACTTTCCGTGGTGTTGGGGGCTGCTCAATTATCTCCCCAGAAAGTAGATGGAAAGGGGCGAAGGCGCGTGAGTAGGCTCCGCGACGGGGACTCGGGAGTCCGCGGGTGGCCTGACCAGGACAGGGGTGACCGGGAGCAGGTGCAGGCACAGCGCCTGGGGAAAGTGAGCAGGTGCAGGGGCAGGCGGCAGGCCTGAGAGGAGCTGGCTAGAGCTGGGACAAAAACAGAATGACAAGAGAGTGGTAAAGGGGGACCTTGGAGTGGACAGCACCCAGCAGTCCTAGACGCTGAGCTCAAGGTGGGCGGGGGGATTAAAGGGGGACAGAGGGTCCAGTGCTTTCCTTCCCTGGCTTCCCTGACAGGTTCAAGTCGGGAGCGCTGTGTCCTCCGGAGTCGCCGGAGAACCGGGAGCACAGCTGCCCACAGCGAGTGGGAGAGCTCTGTCCATGGTCCTTAACCCCATTGGGCTATCTTGAGCTGCTGGGGGTTTGCCTTTCTCTTCTGTGTGGAAGCCAAAGAACAAATAATTATAGCTGAAGGGGTTCCTACGCGCAGTACCCCCGAGTGTGAGCCTGAAGAAGCCTGGACAGGAGACTGGAAGAGGGGGATGTTGACATGAATGAATGGGCTTGTGCGCCACTTCAAGTAAGTGCTTAGGTATATAATTTCTACCTCAACAACAGCCACTGTAATTTTCAAGAAAATAAAAAAAATGACATAGTACAGCTCTCAGTGTCTCAAGCTTCAAGAAATGAAATAAATCAAAGTTAAAAGCTTGAGTATCATTTAATTATAGTGCGAATAGCGCTTTGAAAGAAGTAGAACAACATCTCTAAACAAATTATGACTGGGCCAGGAAGGAATTATTAGATTGAAATTTCATTTAGGCTCGGGAGACACCGTGCTTCACTGTGTAATCTGCTATGCCTCATCTGATTTGTATGCTTAATTCAGCTTGACGAATTTATTAGTTTTCATAATAGTGAAAAAATTGAGCAGCACTATGGGCTAATGCATTGTGTGTACTATAAATTGTATGCCATCGTGGAAAGGCTGGAGTCTATAGAAATCTTTTATTAATGTTAGCATAGGAGGGAGGATTTTCTTGCAAGCCTTGGAGACGTTTATCCCAAACTCCACTGCCTCTGTGTCTCACTGGTCCATTAACATATCGTCATACTAATTAGACTACTTCATCAGTGATATAATTTCAAACTTCAAATTATGTTCTAATTAACAAGGGTTGTCCAATTTGCTTAATCTTCAAAAGGCTTTGGATGGTCTAATTAGTATAAACTGTTGAGCATCTCAAAAGCCTCATAAAAAAGCCATAAAAATATTTGGGGTATGTTTTCCATCAGTATTGTGCAAGAACCAAAGGGTCAAAGGAAGAGGTGGGGGGGGGGGAGGGGTTGGGGACAGAAGGCAGATGTCCTCATGTTTCTGGTTCCTCCAGCTTAAAATACCTAGTGAATCACAGGACAAAGTTTTGGGTATTGCACTTCCTAAACAGTGTGGCTATGTATATAAATAAAAGCATAAGAATATCAAAGAGACAAATCACATGGGAGGGGGGATCTTCTCTTTCATTAGGTGCCTAATTAGATGTAAAGTGAAAAGCAACCCTGAGGAGTTTCACAGCCATTATTGTGGTAACAGTCTGCTGAACTTGGATGGCAAAATTAAATATTTGGGGTGTTTTGAACCTCTCCCTTTCCCCCCCGCCCCCTTCATTGAGCTTAATTACTTGCAATAGTTGTTTTAATGTATGTTGTCACCTGGGAGTATTGAGAAATGCATATCGTTAATGTGAATTAATCTTGATTTTAATAGCAACTGACAACTGATCTCCAAAATGCTAAACACTTGTCACCACTTCATATGGTAAATAAGGCAGTCTAATAAATTCATGAAATAAAAAGGGCAATGTTAAAAGAACTGGGCAAACTTTGTTTGATATTGAATGTATTGGCTAAAAGGATTTCAAACAAAAGAAATCCCCAAAGACTGTTTTCCTGATCACTACAATTCAGATATCATTCAATGAATTTTAACATAACTTCCAAATCTCTCCTATATTTCTCACTAATAAGGCTCGTTCCAAACCAAATAAATCAAAGGACGCCCTTTCAGTCTAATCATTGAGCTCATAAATTAATATGCAGTTGTAAGCAAACGATGGGTTTCTTTTCCTGCTAGGCCCTTCCCCCTAGAAAACACACACATTTAAAAAAAATCAAGTCCCAGAGTTAAATTTCTCCTTTTCCCACTCAACGTGAAAAATGAACAGTAGTGCCTGCATTGCATTAGAGGGGAAATGCAATTCTTCCTTCATCACCACGACTTGCAATTTTGCAATCTCTCCTTTCAGGGTATGTGGTAAATACCAACATCTGTACGGTGATATCAATAAAAGCCATTTCAGTTTTGCCCACAGGCATTGCTGCAAAGTGCCCCTGCGAGTGTGGAAGCCCTTCTCCGCGGAAGGAAGACTCCTGACTCCCAGGGCAGAGGCCATCCAAACAACTGGAAAGCTGGGAATAAACCCAAGGGCTAGAAGAGGATACCCCAGTACCCAAACCTGCCTCATGCAGATGGTCATTTGCATGACCTCAATAGCAGTTTGAAAGGCGAAGCACCTAACGTACATGCTGCACAGCCGCTGGCCCACAGCCCTCCTGAACCAAAAACAGAGACGTGAGTGTTTTAGAAGCAAAGCTACTGAAACAGATAAACTCTGATTGCAAAGAGAGGGCGTGCTTTTCTTCTCACCAAGCCTCTTTGTTTGAAGAGCGCTTCTTTCCCATCCGCTGCCAGAAGTGGACAGATGTGGCCAGCTGCCCTCTGAGTTGGGAGTTACTGAGAGTAACACCAATGCTCCCCAGGCAGCGACGTCTCTGCAGCAGGTGCTTCCCACCCTGAAATCAACCCATGCCCGCAGCCATCCCGAGGGGGGTAAATCACCGTCTCCTTCCCTGTATCTGGGTCCTAATTTTCTATTAAAATTTTAAGCAGTGCATTCATATTTTACTGGACCTAATGTGTTTTATTAAAATTTAATCTATTAAGGGCAGTGCGATTTCTTTGT